CCTCGGACTCCAGCTTGGGTCGGGGGTTGGGGGATTTCCCCACTGCCCTTGACTCTCAGCCTGTCACTCGGGGTGTAGTCAAGTGACTTCCAAATGCAGAGGCGTCCCCGGGCTCCCGGCTTTGCTGAGGCACAGGGGCAACTGCCCTGGGTGGGGAGCATGCTTGGGCACTTCCGTCGAGTCCTCTCCAAACCCCACGTCCTCTGAGACTTTTCCCTTTCGTCTCTTCCACAGGCCCCATCGCCAGAGGATCTCGAAGGAGGAGGCTCGTTCTGAAGCTGAGCCAGAAGGAAACCCTGCAAGCGCTCTTTCAACAGAACCCCTACCCTGGGATAGCGACCAGAGAACGACTGGCCTGAGAGCTTGGCATTGCCGAAAGCAGAGTTCAGGTAGGGCCCCCTCTCTCCACCCGTTCTCCCTCTCAGGCTCCCCGTGCCGATCCGCGTCAGCAGAAAGCACCCGGAGGCCTTTCTCTTGAGAACCTATTCTCTCTGTTTGCCCCTAGGTCTGGTTTCAGAACCAACGAAGAAGACGGTTAAAGCAGAGCCGATCGCCGTCTGCAAATATGCGCCAAGACGGGGAAGGGGCGCCAGGGTCCACGGCCAGGCCACCGTCGACACCTCGTCGACCTCAGTCTTCCACTCAAGGTAAGTTACCCAGCGTTCTGCAAAGGCAAGACCCCCAGAGGGGGGTCCCGAATCCTCCCCCTCTTGACAGAGAATTCTCTCTGCTGGTGGATGACCACCGGAGGCTCAGAAACACCAAGCAGGGAGGAAACAGGGCCATCTGGTTGCGTCCCTCATCAGCGACCCAGATAGGGCCACCATGCCCCCAGGCGGCTTGGACGGGCAGCACTGTTCCCCCTTTGCACCCCCTCCCGAGTCCCCGTCGGGAACTTTAGCCTCCGGCTGCCCAGGCAACCTTGGCCAAGGAGCAGGCTTCAGGGCACTCCGCGGCATGTCCGGAGGAACAAAGAGACACACAGGGGCATGCATGTGTGCCGAGTGTGCATGTGTGCACGCACACCTGCACCATGGATCCAGGCACGAGATCCATCTGTGGGTGTATTCCGTAGAACCCTGCCCCGGCTTCAGAGCCACCTGAAGTGATTCAGGTGTCTGGGACTGTCCAGCCCCTGCACACCGTCTAGGGTATCTGTGCTGTCAAGGTTCCATGGGCCTTAAAGTCCTCTCCTCTCGGTGTGTTCTTTCCTTGGTAGAAGACTCGGCCAGAGAGGCCAGGAGAAAGAGGACAGCCATCTCTCCTTCTCAAACAAGGATCCTTGTGCAAGCCTTCACGAGGGATCGCTTTCCAGGGATTGCCGCCAGGGAAGAACTGGCTCATCAGACGGGAATCCCAGAACCTCGAATCCAGGTAAGTTCTCCAGCCAGCGCATGGGCCCAGGCCGTGGCCCAGGAGACGGGCGCGTTCAGCCCTGCCAAGCGTTTGGAGCTGGATACACATCGGCTTGGGCCGGGGCTTGGGCTGGGGGGAGGGGGCCGAAAGTTGGTGGGCTGAGTGGTGGGTTTTGTGCCGCTTGTTGCCGTGCAGGCGCCCCTCATCTCCCAGGGCCCAGGGATTCGTTTGCAGAAAATGGCCCTGCAGAACTCGCCCTGGGCCTGCCAGATCAGAGGACGGGCCGCCAGGCGGGGTGACAAATGGGTGCCGCGGAGGCGCCAGCACGTTGATCTGGACGGTCACGGCTTCTGATGTGCCTGTCTGCCTTTTGCTCCCCTAGATATGGTTTCAAAACCGAAGAGCTCGGCACCCCCAGCAGAGCGCAAGGGGGCCTGGCAATGTCCGGGCCCGAGGACCAGGCGGCGCATCGGCCACGACCGCTCCTGCTCCAGAGGACCGAAGGGCCCCACCCGCTGTCCACAGCACCTCTCCTCCCCTTGGCCCCTCTCAGACACAGGAGAGCATGCCACCCTTGGCTGCAGCCGCTCCTTTGGGCGCCCCCACCTTCTGGGTGCCCGGGACTGCCTCTGGGGTCTGTGTGGGCCAGCCGTTGATGTTCTTCGTGATCCAGCCCAGCCCGATGGCTCTCCAGCCAAGTGAGAAGCCACCACCTCCTCCCCAGGTAGCAGTGCCCTGGGCCGCGTGCTCCCCTGCTGACACGGCCCCTTGGCAGCCTGGGCCAGGGGCCATCCTGCCGCCTCTACAGCCTGAGACACACATCAGGCGGAGGCCAGAGTCACCCGTTGCTGAAGGCACGGCCCCTCTGCTAGAGCCACAGCCCCATCCGCCCAGCCTTCCAAGATCGACAAGCCTCCTAGATGAGCTCTTGGCGGCCACCGGCATCCTGGAAACGCAGGCGCCTTCCGCGGGGGACGCTGCAGATGCACGAGTGCACCCTGCCCTCCCAGGCGAACCCAGCATCCTAGAAGAGTTCGTGGAGGCCACGGGCATCCCGGACATGCAGGCGCCTTGCCCGGGGGCCGCTGCAGATGCACGAGTGCACCCTGCCCTGCCAGACGCACCCAGCTTCCTAGACGAGCTCTTGGAGGCCATGGGCATCACAGACTGGCAGGCGCCTTCCCCGGGGGCTGCTGCGGATGCAGGAGCACACCCTGCCCTCCCAGGCACAGCCAGCATCCTAGAAGAGTTCGTGGAGGCCACAGGCATCCCGGACACGCAGGCGCCTTCCCCGGGGGCTGCTGCAGATTCAGAAGTGCACCCTGCCCTGCCAGACGCACCCAGCTTCCTTGACGAGCTCTTGGAAGCCACGGGCATCGCAGACTGGCAGGCACCTTCCCCGGGGGCCGCTGCAGATGCAGGAGCGCACCCTGCCCTGCCAGTTGCAACCAGCTTCCTAGACGAGCTCTTGGATGCCACGGGCATCGAGGACTCTCAGGCGCCTTCCCCGGAGCCCGGTGCAGATGCAGGAGTGCACCCTGCCCTGCCAGACCCACCCAGCTTCCTAGACGAGCTCTTGGAGGCCACGGGCCTCGGGTCCTCGCAGGCGCCTTCCCCGGGGGCCGCTGCAGATGCAGGAGCACACCCTGCCCTGCCAGGCACACCCAGCTTTCTAGGCCAGCTCTTGGAGGCCACGGATATTGCGGCCTCGCAGGCGCCTTCCCTGGGGCCCTATGCAGATGCAGGAGCACACCTCGCCCTCCCAGGCTCACCCAGCCTCCAAGATGAGCTCCTGGCCGTCACATGCATCCCGGGCTCGCCGGGTCCTTCCCTGGGGTCCTCTCCTGTCATCCCAGGGTACCATCCAGCCCTCCCCGGGTCTCCCAGCCTCCTAGAGGAAATCATGGCTGCCTCGTCCATCCAGGACACGCCCTGGTCTTCACCGCGGGCCGCTGCGGACGAAGAAGGAGTTGAGGCAATCCTGGAGGCACCCCTCAGAGAGGAGGATTACCAGGCACTCCTGGACATGCTGCCAGGCTCCCCAGGCCCTCGGGCTTAGAGGGAGAAGAAGGAAAGGGGCACCATCTCCCCTGAGCCCCTTTCAGGTCTCCTTGCTTCAGAGGCCAAGCCACGGAGGTCGTGGAGTAGGGAAGATTTTAGGTGGGGGAGGGGGGGCGGTGGGGAGCAAACAGACGGGATGACTACCAGCAACTTTGGGGACATACACTAGAGCTGGACCTTTGGGAAGCATGGGCCCCCTCCAAGAGGCACAGACCACCTGAAGCCTCAAGGAATCGCAGGATTCCAGTGACCAAGACGGTGGCTAAGAACGGACATGCTGTGGAGCCAATAAAGAAACCCTGTGCTCTGCACAGGTTCTTTTGGTCTGACTCATCTGTGTTCTGGTTGCGTCTTTCCAGCAGTCCACACAGGAGCACTCCTTCCCTAGGCCAGGGGCAGCCGAGCGAGTGGGAGTGGGAGATAGAGCAGTGGGAAGGTAGAAGGCTGGGAAACGCAAGGTGGGAGGGGGCGAGTGGATGGAGGGAGAGGGTGGGGGAGAAGGGAGAGGCTTGGGGAAGGCTCAGTGGGAGAGGGAGGGAGGAAGAGAAGAGAAGGAGACAGAGAGATTTGGGGACGGAGGGAGGGAGAGGGCGTTTGGGGGAGGGGGGCGGGGCCCCCGTCTGGGACTCAGCTTCTAGCCACTGGCCATCCCTGCAGGTATCCCTAAAATACTCCGTCAGGGACATGCTTCCCTCGGTTTCGGGGTGCCTGGTCTGGGCGGGTTTCCCGAGGTCAGATCCTCTGAGCCAGCAGTAGGGACCTACCCACACAACCGCTTTCACGACCAGACTCCATGTCAACACACATGCCTGGTAGAGCTGCAAAGGCCAATCATCTCCGTGTGTCTCTCTGATCCTCACGGTGTAGTGACTCAGCTCGCCCTGCCACCAGCATCCCCGCATCACCCGCAGACCTACAGGCATGATTTCCTTGCAAACCCGTTCCTGAATTCATAGACACGGTGGATTCGATGTACATACAACCCCCTGACTGTTCCCATGTGAAGCCCCCGTGGTTGGCTTTAGAGACCTGCGTGGCCAAAGAATCCATTGGGAAAGATGGCTGTGGGTGTGGTGTTGTGGTTCGTTCATTTCTTTTCAATTCATTGGAACCTGTTCAGAGCCATCCCCCGTGTGGCCTCATGCAACCTCCTCCCTCCTGTGTCTGCTCCTGCCTCCTGATTCCCTCCTCCTTCTCCTCTCTGCCCTCCGTTTCTTTAAGAAAGCACACACTATTTCCACGTCCAGTTGTTGGCACAGGTCAGGGCGCCTCTCCGTCCAGAACGTGCATGCTTCCTTCCTTGGCTTAGTGGAACCACCTTCCTAAGAGTAGTGGGTACAGTGTCCCGTTTCCGAGGTCTCCCCAGGGCACTTTGAGTAGGGGGTGGGCTGGGGAGGTGCAAGCATCAGGGTGCACCTGAAAAAGCCCCAAACGGTGTGAGTTGCCATTCGAGACACTGGCCCATCACTTCTCTCGCAGTAGACTTGGGTTTCTGGCAAGTCAAAGACTTGGGTGTATTTGGTGGGGGTGGGCGTGGGGTGGGTGTGGGCAGGGCGGTGGACTGGGACTGCTGTCGGGAAAGGATGCCAGGGGGGCACCGAGGAGGTGGGGAGGAATGTGGAAAAGGGAGGCAAGGATTTAAGGCAGCTAGGAGGAGGCACTGGAGAGAGCGTCCAGTGTCCGGGAATGCTCCGGAGGAGCCGGCGGAGGCCATTGAGTCCAACGTATATGTGGAATGTGAAAAGGCGGGAAAAGCCAGGGCGTTTCGGAAGGCAAGGCAGGCTGGGAAAGGGGGCGTGGGCGGCAACTTCAAAGGGACCTAGGGGAATTCCCGTGCAGTTAGGACTCTGTGCACTGCGGAGGGCCCCCGAGCCTGGGGTTGATTCCAGCTGCTGCGTGGCAGGGCCACACACCAAAACCCCCAACGCCCACCGCCCCCAGGCCAACGTGGACCTTGGGAGTCTGGGTCGCGGGCCGTGCCCGTGAAAGCCCACTGGCTCCACGGGATTCTTTCCAGGGTCTCTGCTTGGAGGCCAGGGGCGTCCCCTCTGACTAAGCACCCACCACGATTGACGTGAATAGGGGCGGAGCTGCCTCACCCTATCCAAAGTCCCGAGCAGCTGGGTCCTGGCCCACTGAGAAGGCAGTCTGCAGCGTCCCTGTGGCTCTCCCACCATGGCTTCGTCCAGCTCCTCCAGCACCTCAGGCGGTACGTTTGCCCTCGCTCCCTGGGGTCGGATCAGGTCTCGGGGTGGGGGTGGGGGGTGGGTCTGTGGATAGCCCGGCCAAGGGTTCACTGCAAACGTGTCGACTGACCGCCAAGAAAGCCAGGGACCGATCGGCTGGGCCCCTGGTTTCCAGGCGTCAGGTGTGCCCAGAGAGGCACCGTTTGGTCGTTTGGCTCCTTTGGCACACACATGGCTTCTCCTTTCTCTTTTCTGTGATGATGGTGTTGGTTGTGTGTTAGGGGGGCCGGTAGGGGAACTGGCATGGGGCCCTATTTCCTCATCTTGCCATGGAAATGGACGTCGGGGAGCTCTGTGGCTTTGCCAACTTCAGTGGCTTTCTGTCCACAATGGCCTAGTGCCTTCTGTCTTCCGTCAGGCGTTGCATGTTGGGCTTCGCCTTGGCTTCCTTCCCTCTTCCTTTCCTGTTCCCCTAGTGACGGCAAATATGGCCTGGGCTCCTCTTAGCCCCGAGAAGCCAGGTTCCCCTCCATTGGCATTGTGATGGAGGGAATTTTGGGAGAGGCCCCATCAAGACATTTCCCAGGCATCTGCTGAGGCAGGTGGAAAAATGTCTCTGCAGACAGGCTGCATGGTGTGCTGGTCTTTGGTGGGTGGGATTTCTTGCCAGCTTTGTTTCAGGGGCGGGTTTGGCTTCCTTTCTGCTTGCTGGTGTTCCTCGGACTCCAGCGTGGGTCGGGGGTTGGGGGATTTCCCCACTGCCCTTGACTCTCGGCCTGTCACTCGGGGTGTAGTCAAGTGACTTCCAAATGCAGAGGCGTCCCCGGGCTCCCGGCTTTGCTGAGGCACAGGGGCAACTGCCCTGGGTGGGGAGCATGCTTGGGCACTTCCGTCGAGTCCTCTCCAAACCCCACGTCCTCTGAGACTTTTCCCTTTCGTCTCTTCCACAGGCCCCATCGCCAGAGGATCTCGAAGGAGGAGGCTCGTTCTGAAGCTGAGCCAGAAGGACACCCTGCAAGCGCTCTTTCAACAGAACCCCTACCCTGGGATAGCGACCAGAGAACGACTGGCCCGAGAGCTTGGCATTGCCGAAAGCAGAGTTCAGGTAGGGCCCCCTCTCTCCACCCGTTCTCCCTCTCAGGCTCCCCGTGCCGATCCGCGTCAGCAGAAAGCACCCGGAGGCCTTTCTCTTGAGAACGTATTCTCTCTGTTTGCCCCTAGGTCTGGTTTCAGAACCAACGAAGAAGACGGTTAAAGCAGAGCCGATCGCCGTCTGCAAATATGCGCCAAGACGGGGAAGGGGCGCCAGGGTCCACGGCCAGGCCACCGTCGACACCTCGTCGACCTCAGTCTTCCACTCAAGGTAAGTTACCCAGCGTTCTGCAAAGGCAAGACACCAGAGGGGGGTCCCGAATCCTCCCCCTCTTGACAGAGAATTCTCTCTGCTGGTGGATGACCACCGGAGGCTCAGAAACACCAAGCAGGGAGGAAACAGGGCCATCTGGTTGCGTCCCCCATCAGTGACCCAGATAGGGCCACCATGCCCCCAGGCGGCGTGGACGGGCAGCACTGTTCCCCCTTTGCACCCCCTCCCGAGTCCCCGTCGGGAACTTTAGCCTCCGGCTGCCCAGGCAACCTTGGCCAAGGAGCAGGCTTCAGGGCACTCCGCGGCAAGTCCGGAGGAACAAAGAGACACACAGGGGCATGCATGTGTGCCGAGTGTGCATGTGTGCACGCACACCTGCACCATGGATCCAGGCACGAGATCCATCTGTGGGTGTATTCCGTAGAACCCTGCCCCGGCTTCAGAGCCACCTGAAGTGATTCAGGTGTGTGGGACTCTCCAGCCCCTGCACACCGTCTAGGGTATCTGTGCTGTCAAGGTTCCATGGGCCTTAAAGTCCTCTCCTCTCGGTGTGTTCTTTCCTTGGTAGAAGACTCGGCCAGAGAGGCCAGGAGAAAGAGGACAGCCATCTCTCCTTCTCAAACAAGGATCCTTGTGCAAGCCTTCACGAGGGATCGCTTTCCAGGGATTGCCGCCAGGGAAGAACTGGCTCGTCAGACGGGAATCCCAGAACCTCGAATCCAGGTAAGTTCTCCAGCCAGCGCATGGGCCCAGGCCGTGGCCCAGGAGACGGGCGCGTTCAGCCCTGCCAAGCGTTTGGAGCTGGATACACGTCGGCTTGGGCCGGGGCTTGGGCTGGGGGGAGGGGGCCGAAAGTTGGTGGGCTGAGTGGTGGGTTTTGTGCCGCTTGTTGCCGTGCAGGCGCTCCTCATCTCCCAGGGCCCAGGGATTCGTTTGCAGAAAATGGCCCTGCAGAACTCGCCCTGGGCCTGCCAGATCAGAGGACGGGCCGCCAGGCGGGGTGACAAATGGGTGCCGCGGAGGCACCAGCACGTTGATCTGGATGGTCACGGCTTCTGATGTGCCTGTCTGCCTTTTGCTCCCCTAGATATGGTTTCAAAACCGAAGAGCTCGGCACCCCCAGCAGAGCGCAAGGGGGCCTGGCAATGTCCGGGCCCGAGGACCAGGCGGCGCATCGGCCACGACCGCTCCTGCTCCAGAGGACCGAAGGGCCCCACCCGCTGTCCACAGCACCTCTCCTCCCCTTGGCCCCTCTCAGACACAGGAGAGCATGCCACCCTTGGCTGCAGCCGCTCCTTTGGGCGCCCCCACCTTCTGGGTGCCCGGGACTGCCTCTGGGGTCTGTGTGGGCAGCCGTTGATGTTCTTCGTGATCCAGCCCAGCCCGATGTCTCTCCAGCCAAGTGAGAAGCCACCACCTCGTCCCCAGGTAGCAGTGCCCTGGGCC